ATTAAAAAATTATTTAAAAATTAAAATATATATATATATATTATATATTATACAAAGTACACATTTACAGTTAATGCCCTTGAATTATAATTTAAAATATTAAATATAAATAAATATATATTGGTATGTAAAATGTATTTTTATCTAAACAGTAATTAAAAGATATTAACTGCATAGACACCAAAAAAAATTGTTTTTAATTAATTATTAAATTTCGCACAATCACGTATACAGTACACATTTACAATTAATGTCCTAAATATACATTAAATATAAGCTGATATATTAATATATAAAATTCACCACATTATCAGAGTGTTCGGCTCTCTACAACAAAAATAATAATAAAAAAAGAATACTTTACATTTAAATACAATTAAAATATATATGCTATATGCACATTTATGCCATTTAATTGTAATTTAAATATTATTCAATATATAGTTATATATAATGTTTATTTAATTTAAATAATAATTAATAGAGATACATTTTTTTTTTATTAAACATAATATATATAAAGTACACATTACAGTTAATGCCCTTGAATTATAATTTAAATATAAATAAATGTATATAGGTATGTAAAATGTATTTTTATCTAAACAGTAATTAAAAGATATTAACTGCATTGACACCAAAAAAAAAAAACAGGGTTTTAAATTTCGCACAATCATGTATACAGTACACATTTACAGTTAATGTCCTAAATATAAATTAAATATAAATGTATATATTAATATATAAAATTCACCACATTATCAGAGTGTTCGGCTCTCTACAACAACAACAAAAATAATAATAATAATACTTAAAATTTAAATAAAATTAAATATATATACTACATGCACATTTATGTCCTTTAATTGTAATTTAAATATTAATAAATATATAGCTATATATAATGTTTACTTAATTTAAATAATATTTAATAGAGATTCATTTAAAACAAATTAAATAATATATATATATAAACTACACATTACAGTTAATGTCCTTAATATAAATTAAATATAAATGTATATATTAATATGTAAAATTCACCACATTATCAGAGTGTTCGGCTCTCTACAACAACAAAAAATTATATTAAAAAAAATAATACTTTACATTTAAATGAAATTAAATATATATACTACATGCACATTTATGCCCTTTAATTGTAATTTAAATATTATTAAATATATAGTTATATATAATGTTTATTTAATTTAAATAATAATTAATAGACTAACTGCACAGACACCAAACCCCACCCTCAAAAAACATAATCTTAAATTTCTTCATCAGTATTTACTCTGTAAACATGTAAGTGTTGGTTGTGTTACCCAGAGAGGCGTAGGACCCGGGTGGCAGCGCCGCGGCTGAGCTGAAGGGGACGGCCGGCATTCGTGATTTAACACTGGCCGCGGCGTTAACATCCACATCGCTGCGCGAGCGCTGGAGAGAGCCGGACGACGAGGACACGCGAGAACTCACCACTTTAGCTGAGAGAAGACCAGAGACAAATACTGTGGTACAAACAAAAATACCCCAAAGAGACATCCAAGACCATGTGTGACCCTGGAGCACAAACCAGTCATAAGGGTCAATTATTTTAAACTGAGATTAATACATCATCTGGAAGCTGATTACATAAGCTTTCCATTGATGTATGGTTTGTTAGGATCGGACTATATTTGGCTGAGATACAACTATTTGAAAATCTGGAATCTGAGGGTGCAAAAAAATCTAAATATTGAGAAAATCATCTTTAAAGTTGTCCAAATGAAGTTCTTAGCAATGCATATTACTAATCAAACATTAAGTTTTGATATATTTACGGTAGGAAATTTACTAAATATCTTCATGGAACATGATCTTAATATCCTAATGATTTTTGGCATAAAAGAGAAATGTATAATTGTGACCCATACAATGTATTGTTGGCTATTGCTACAAATATCCCCCAGCGACTCAACACTGCTTCTGTGCTGCAGGGTCACATTTATCTTCTTAATTTTGAAGTCCACTATTAGACTACATCTATACTGATATTTGACTACATTTTTTTATAAAACAAAAAAAAGCATGTATATTCTCACTTTTGCTCAAGTTGCTCCCGGCAGGTGTTTTAGCAGACAGCGGCCGACTACGAGAGAAATGAAGAGTGAGATTCGAGTGTGAAAGAAGAGCTTCTTAATGAGGAGCGGTTCTCACGTGAGGCTCTCCTGCGAGCTGGAGGACGAGCGGTCGGACTGCGGCAGAGACGTGATGCTGTCGGAGCTCTTCAGGTGAGACTGCAGCGCCTTCTGATTGGTCAGTTCCAGCGCCTGAAACAGATGCTCCGCCTCCTTACGGAAGTGGGCGTGGAAACCCCAGTAACATCTACAAAACATTCGTTCAGATCACAGCTGTCACCTCGCTGTAATATACAAGTTATCAAAATGATGCACAACATAATCAATGACCATATTGATATCAACCAATACTTGTTTATTTTATTAGCGTCAGACCAATT